GATTACTTGACTTAAACTAAATCCTAGCAATCAGAATGTTCTGACAATTTACCTCCCTCAATGCCAAGTGACCAAACTTGTTGTCACAACTTTGCCCGCTTGGGGGGCTAATGTTGAGGGATGAATTTATATGGTCATCAAGTCGATGACATGTGCGGCTCCACATCAACAAAGGCCTACATAACTTATTTTCCACATTAGACATGCTACTCCTATTTTTTGCTGATTACTGCAACAAAGTCAGCATCGTCAGAAATGGCACTTATTTTCTTCGTTGGAAACATTGCAAAATATAGCCTATGCCAACATCTTTTTTTATATATACATGGCCAGAAATGGCTAGACCTATTCATACGTCATGGCTGGACATTTTTTACGATCATGTCCCTTACAATGATATTCACTGTTACATCTTGTGGCTCCCAACAATGGATAAAGAGCCGATTTTGCTACACATTGGCTCCCATCAATGGACAACGGGCTACATCTACACAACCTCCAACGATGGACAAAGAGCTAGATTCGTTGTCTCATTTAGTCTCCAGCAATAGGTAAAAGGCTATATGTTTCCACATATCTTCATTACATTGGCTCCTAGCAACGGATAAAATGTCAAATCTCTACATATTCTATCTCATTGGCTCTCAAAAATGAATAAAGAGTTAGTGCAACTTGGTACGATTAGTGTGAGGCCAGTAACAGTTGTAACCCTGTGATTGGACGAGATGGCTACCCTTCAGTGATAAAAATCCATCAAGTAACAACCGGTGGCCCCTTGGTGGTTGTCCGTGCATGGTGGTGTGGTGCTCGGCGAGTAACAACAACTAGGACCACCCTTTGACAGTGTGTGTACGGCAAAAAAGGTCAGCGTTTGGCCATGGTATCACACCTTATCGTATCAGAGGCCATGGATGCAACTACCGTCTCTCTTCCATAGAGACAACTCCACCTCTCTCTATCACATATTCATCACTATGGCGGAGTTTGATTTAGTGAGATTTACTCCTCTGCGACTTGGCAGATTAGTGGGAATACTCTTTTGATTCCACATAGTTCACACTACAGCCATGGGCAAACTTAGCCACTGTTGTTCTTCTGGCTATGAGGAAACTATTCATGGCTAACCCTACAATATTTACATGACTGACAACCATGCATATCATTATCCTTCCATAAAAAGGGACAAAATTATTGGTTGCTAGTAATCCTGACTCATAACATATATCTTCCATATTTTATGTGTTAATAGGTATCGTCAACCAATGATGCTTGGCGTGGGACAATGATATCGTAACACACATCCATATCACTTATTCTTTACTTTGGCACAATGCCAGTCGTATGCAACAAGAATGTATTGGTGCTCGCAATGGCCAACAAACAAAAGGGTGTAATGAACATTCATCCTCATCATCCCCTTTAATACACAAAGGAGTATCTTTCTTCGCTACATATGTCCATACACTTTACACTTAAATATTTGAATATATACTCATTTGTATCTTACTTTCATTGTAGATAAACACAAGCCCATGAATCCTAACTTATGGGAATTACTTGGGATAAACTTTAAGAGAAGTGGCTTGGCAGGCATGAATTGGTGAACACTGCCTATATGGCGAAGCAAGGCATTTGCACTAGTGAAGCTTAGCGCTAGCGATGTTGCTCGACTTCACCAGAAAGGGTTGGGTGGCAAAGACATGAAAGTGGACTTGATTCCTAAAACAATATCCTTTGATGCTAACCAGAGGCTTAAAATCTCATTAAAAGATTAACCAAAGATGTTTTGGTCACCATCAACAAGTTGCAACTATGTTTAATGCAATGGTGGTTACACAAGTTTCAAGGCCTTCGCAACTATTGAAAAAGATTGTTTTTTGCTTGGAAAATCTTCCAAATCCTGTGCAGATCTTGGGGAACTTGCCAAAATCCTGTGTAGGTGTTGTTTTTACCAACTACACTTAAGCACCTCCCCAAAAATGAAATTTTGTATGGCTGGAGGAATCCTTAGAGATAGCAACTTCTAGTCCATCGCTAAAACTATTGAAGTTTCACTGCAACCAGTGGTAATTCATGATATCTCCGCCAGAAAGCTATTAGCAGTGTCTAGAGTCATTAAAAGCTTGACAGCTCGCCCAAATCTACCTGCTAGCCACTAAACACCTTTGTCCCATTAACCCGAAACTTACAAAAATACCATTGCACCTATATATATTATTTTTCCTTCATTTTTTTTTGGTAGAGAGAAAAAAAGTGAATAGTTTTTCATGATTCCAGCCTTCTCTTCCCACACACAAGACTTCCCCTTATCCTTTGAAAAAAATTTCCCACCTTCAATGTCTCACCCTACATGCCAAAGTCACCCAAAAATCACCATTTTCTTCACATTTTGAGCATTTCCAACACTGCAGAATAATTTCCAAACTTGCAGCATGTTTCAGTTTCAGTTTCAGTTTCTGGGTACTTTTTCCTGAGCATCAGAGGATTAGGCTGCAGGATTAGCATAAAAAATGGGATCAAGCATTCCACTCACAAGCCCCCAAGCAGTCATCTGTCTTTCTCCCATCACTACTTTCAAGTTTATTCTTTTTGTTCTTGAGAAAGCTTCAAAAGAGGGATTGTTGTATCTTCCATTTACAATATGAGTGCTGTTCGATATAGAGTGAGGATATTTACTAGAGATGATAAAGGGCCATTTATTGTCATTATTATTTTGTCACAATATTTTATGTATAAATGTGCTTCTCAAGTTGTAACCTTTGATCCTCATGTATCTTCTGTTCTTGTTGCTCTTGTTATGATGGTTCAGTTTCTTTTTACTCTTTGGGCAGTTGTGTAATCATTTTCAGCTCTTGAAATCGCACTGTTTTTTGCTTAGTCCCCTCCTTCCCGACTTGGTTAAGAAATCCACAATCTGAGACACTACTAAAGATTTGATGCTTACCAACAGCCCCAGGAGGAACGAGATGGCTCGTGGCATGTAGCCTCTCGCATGTGAAATGGTTGTTGCCAAAAGGACCCTCCTCATGTTCTCAGGTGTCATCCTAGTCAACCTCCATATCATCACTACTGCTAACCAATCAACCTACATCAATAGCACACCCCTAACAAAATGCTGTTGGAAACATTAAGAAGTACCTTATTTGCCCTCCAATTCTTGTAGCACTCATTCACGGGAAACCATTGATACTTTATATTATAGCACAAGAACATTCCTTAGGAGCATTGTTGGCACAAGTTAATGAGGAGGGAAATGAAAATACTGTTTATTATTTGAGTTGTATTCTCGTGGGGGACAAAGTGAATTATTCACCCATTGAAAAGACTTGCCTTGCCTTGATCTTCTCTACGAAGAAAATAAGACATTATCTGTTAGCACATGTAATACATCTCATTTTAAAAGTAAACCCTTTAAAATACATCATCTCAAAATTGGTGCTTTATGGTAGATTAGTAAAGTGGGCACTATTATTGTCTGAATTTAAAATAGTTTATATGCCACAAAAGGCAATAAAAGGACAAGCATTAGTTGATTTTCTTGTAAGTCATCCAATTCCAGTTGAATGGGAGTTGTCAGAGGGTTTACCAGATGATGAAATGTTCTTTATAGATGTATTACCATCATGGAAACTCTCTTTGATGAAGCATCAAGAAGAGATGGTGCTAAAGCTAATGTGGTGCTTGTAGCGCCAAAAGATGAAGTGATACCATTTTCTTTTACTTTAATAGAACAATTCTCCAATAATGTTGTTGAGCATCAAGCCTTGATTTCAGGCATGGAGATAGCTCCTGAAATGCAAATTTACCTACTCAATGTCTATAGGGACTCCAGCTTGGTAATGAATCAACTCATAAAGGAGTTTCATGTTCGAAAACTAGATCTCATCCCATACTTTCAATATGCCTCTTAACTCCTTGAGCAATTTGATCATGTCTTAATTGCCCACATTCCTAGAAGTTGAAAGCATATGCTTTGGCTAACCTATTTGCTGTCATTGCATGTTCCAATAAGCAAGAAGTCATTGTTTTTATGTCCCGACAGTGGATTTCACCTCAACAAACATTTGAAGATGTAGAAAGTAATCTTGTTTCAGTTTTTGTCATTGAGAAAAAAAGGTTGGAGACAACCAATTATTAATTACTTGGAACATGGAAAGTTACTAGAAGATCAACGCCAAAAGTTTGTAATTCAAAGGAAGGCTCCACATTTTGTATACTTTTGTAACACCATCTATTGGTATTTTTTGATGGAGTTCTCCTTATATGTTTGGATAGAGATGAATCATCCCAAGTGATTGAGGAGGTGCATTTTGAAATTTGTGGCACTTGTTAGTTTGGCACAAAACTTCACTATCAAATAAGGAGAATGGGAGACTATTGGCCAACAATGGTAAATGAATGCATGGAATATGTGAAGAAATGTGAAGCATGGCAATTTCATGCAAACTTTATCCATCAATTGCCAAAGCCTTTACATCCAATAATAGCTTTATGGCTTTTCTATGCTTGGGGTTTAGATGTGAATGGATCCATAACACCAAAATCCTTGGTTGGGCATGCATATATCCTAGTGACAATTAATTACTTTTTGTTGAGGGATGAATTTGTATGGCTACATAACTAATGACATGTGCAGGTCCACATCAACGAAGGACCACAACACTTATCATCCCACATTCGACGTGTGATTCCAATTTTCTACAAATCGCTACTGTGGAATCAACATCACCAGAGTGGGGCACATATTCGCTTCATTGGAAATATCGCGGAATGAAACTCACTTCAGCATCTATCTCCACACACATGGCCAGACATGGCTAAGTCTATTTCGGCAACATGGCTAGGCGCTTCTTGACGGCCATGTCCTCTACAGCGATGTGCTCTGTTGTATCTCGCGGCTCCCAGTAATGGACAAAGAGCCTACTTTGCTACATGGCTCCCATCAAAGGACAACAGGCTGATCTATGTAGCTCCCAACGATGGACAATGGGCTGAGCATCCACTCCTATATATCTTTATCACTAGTTTCCATCAATGGATGATGGGCTAATCATATTACACTTACACAACTCCCAGCAATGGATAAAGGACTAGATTTGCTACATATCTATCCCACTAGCTCCCGAAAATGGACAAAGAGTCAGCACAACTCGGTACGATTAGCATGAGGCTGGTAACAATTGCAACCTTGCAATCAGACGGGATGGCTACCCTCCAACAATGAAAATCCATCAAGTAACGGCCGACGGTCCCTTGATGGTTGCCTGTGCATGGTGGTGTGGTGCCCAATGGGCAACAACAACCAGGACTACCCTCTGACGGTGCGAGTACAACAAGGGCCAACGTTTGTCAATGGTATCAAACCTTGTCATATTGGAGGCCATGGATGTGGTTGGCATCCCCCTTCCATGGAGACAACTCCATCTCTCTCTATCACATCTTCATCGCTATGACAAAGTGGTTTAACAAGATTTACCCCTTTGCGACTTGGCAAATTAGTAGGAGTGCTCTTTCGATTCCATGTAGTTCACACTCCAACCATGGACAAAGCTAGCCACTGTTGTCCCTTTGACTATGGGAAAGCTATCCATGGAAAAAACATGGCCAGCAGTCATATATATCATCATCTTTCTATACAAAGGGACAAAGTTACCGATTGACGGTAATCCCAATCTATAACACATCTCTTTTGTATATTCCAAGTGTTAGTAGATACCGTCAGCCAACGAAGCTTGGCCTCGGATAACGATATCGCAACACATGCCCATGTCATCCATTCTCTCTATTTTGACACAACCCCAGCCATGCATAGCAATAATAAAGCCATACCTGCCACGGCTAACGAATAAATGGGAGCAACGAACATTTGCCCACATGGTCTTTCTCAACATATAAGGGAGTTCCTCTCTTTGTTGCGTATATTCACATATTGCTTGTATCTAAAATACCCAAATATATGCTCATATGTACTTTGTTATTATCGCAGATAAGCGCAAGCCCATGTGTAATATCCCAAAATTTTGTGATATTTTAGCATTTAAGTAAGGGTTTTTGTGAGAGAAAATATTGTTTTGGGCTTAATAGCCAACATTCTCAAACTTGAGGGACTTGAAAGAGACAAATTAGGATAAAAAGGGGCAAGGCTGGTAATTCTTCCTCAGCCACACGGGTCATCTTCTTCCTCGTTGCAGCCCACCTGAAAGAAGAAAAAAAAAAACCAAGTGGCCAACGACATCTCCCCTTGAGAAAATCGGTAAAGGTTGGTGATTTCTTCTTTCCTTTCTTGCTCAATAACCAGTTTTAGGAACCCAGAAACCTTCCCCCCTCTGCAGAATTTTCGGATCTGCTCTGCTTGGTTCCCTCAATCTGTTGTTCTTGTCGGTGGTTGGGCGTGGATTTTCCAAATTTTCGGTAAGTAACAGCCATTAAATTCTTTGTTTTTCCTTGAATTGGCTTGGGTTAACTTTGATTTCTCTTGGTTTCTCCAATTTTTGGGATAAATCCCGAATTTCTCCCCAAATTGTTGCTGACCTTCCCTTAGCTTGCAGCTCTGGTTCTGCTGGCTGGAATTCTGGTATGGACAGCTTCTCCAAGTTAAATTTATCAATTAATTGCTACTTTTTTTGTTGAATTTATCCATGTAGTGGCTACCCTTGCACTGTCAGGAAATCTGTTGAAAAATGGGGATGAATTTCGATAGTAATTATAGCATAATTAAGCTTAATTCATGTAAAAATTAGCTTGATTTGGGCTACTGTGATTTTTGGAGAAAATCCCGTGAATTAGCCATTGTTTTGCCAATTTATGGAAGTGCAGTTATTGTTCATAGCGTGATCACTGTTCACGGGCACTGTTCACGCATTGATGGCCAACAATTAACGGGGATTAAATGTTTAGTGTTGAAATGTCTGGTGATGTGGAGATTGATAGAAATAGCATCGTGATATGGGGGTAGTCATGGTGATTTTACTTTTGAATCCGTGGTACGATAATTAATTCTTGGATATTTTGATTAGGTTCTTGATCGTTCTGTCAGTTTAGCATTGAGATCAAGTCTTCGGTTTTATGCGAGTGAGGTAAGTACATTTATGATAATGCCCATACAGTTTTTAAAAGCATGTTTTGACTTGTTTTTGAAGTGATGGCGGGACTAAACCCGTTTTATACAAAAGTAAGTATGATTGATTTGAAGTGAAATTTTTATGCTTTTCATTAAATTGAGCATGCCTACTTGAAATTTAATTGATTGTTCTGATGATCTGAAAGTGATTGGTGAATTATGGTTTTTCTGTTAACTTCTGCCTATTTTGTCTCTGATGTGGTTATGTTATTAGTGACCTTGCTAGTGGGGGTTTATAAACACTAGCACATGTCGACATGTTATTGATAGAACCAGTTCGTTCGAGTGACCTTGCTAGTGGGGGTTATACACCAGCAAATGGTCTAGCCTGCCAGTGGGAGGTTTATAACACTGGCCATGACCTATAGAGGAGACGTCTATTTCGTACTCGTACTGTATCTGTTTTTCGTGATTACACTTGTTGGCATGCTATAAGTTTAATAAGGGGCACTCCATATTTACTTACTGAGTTATCTCATAGTTTTTTCCCTGTCCACCATTTCAGGAAGCGAAGTCAAAGATGGGGAAAAACAAGGGGAGTGACAAGTTAGAAGGCTAGCCATATTGTAATTGGATATGAAATTTTAGATATAAATCATGATCTTGTAAGTTAGATTTTAATTGGAGATTTTATAAATTTATTTAATGGATTGTTAGTTTACAAGAGATTTGACCTTGAGATTTGAGTTTAAGTCATGTTGGACATAAAATTATTTTGAAATATCTGATTTAAGTTATTAGATTGTCAGATGTGAATTGGATAACTTCCGAACTTTGTGCATTTGTGAAACCTTCTCACAAGTGCACGGCATCTGTTGCACCTTGAATTCTGGTTTTGGGACGTGACACTGTGAATCCAAGCTCATGAGAATTACTCGGGATAAACTATAGGTGAATGGCTTGGCAGGCATGGATAGGTGAACAGTGCCTTTCTGGCGAAGCTTGGCATTCTCATTAGCGAAGCTTGGGGTTGGCGATGTTGCCCGATTTCGCCAGAAAAGGCTAGGTGGTGAAGCTGTGGAAACAAACTTAACTCTCAAAATAGTATCCTTTGATGTTAACCAAAGGCTAGAAATCCCGTTGAAGATCGACTAAAGATGTTGCATGAATCACCATCAGCAACTTGCAGCCATATTTAATGCAAGGATGGCTGCACAAGTTTCATAATCTTGGAAACTACTATGGAAGATTACCGTCTGCTTGTAGGATCTCCCAAAATCCTGAACAGAGCCTGGGGAACTCATCGAATCACTGTGCAGGTGGTGTCTCTGCCGGTTGCATTCAAGCATCCCCCAAAAACAGAGTTTTGTATGGCTAGGAGAATTTCCAATAATAGCCAATTTCTAGTCCATCGCTAGAACTAGCAAAGCATCGCTAGAACCAGTAAAGCTTCACTAGAACCAACGGGCAACTCATGATGCTAACGCCAGAGTAACCGTCAACAATGCCTAGAACCAATCTAGGCTTGACAACTCACTTGGACCCATCTATACATTTTTGACACATTGAGTAGGATTACAGAACTACCCTTAACTACATATATCATCCCTCCCTTGCCATTCAAAAGGAAGACGTAGAAGAGAACCCAGATTTTTCTCACACGCATCAGATCCCCATTCTTCTTTCCTCATAAAAAATACTCCACCTATAATCCATTATCTTGTATGTTAAAAGCTACCTAGAAAGCATCGTTGCTCTGTATTTTCAACCTTGTAAAATGACTTCCAGCCTCGCATGATAGTCTCCAATATCGCAGAATATTCCTAGATTTGTAAGATCTCACGGCTGGGAAACAACAGCTTATAGTTCCACCTATGTGATTCTTTTGGAGCATCGGATGATCAAGCCACATGGTTAGCATCAAAGAACAAGATTAAGAGTTCCGCCCATACGCGCCCCCAAGTGAACACCTTTCCTTCTCCCATCACTATTTTCAAGTTTATCCTCTTCATTTTCTTTGTTCTTGAAGAAATTTCGAAATGATGGTCATTACATCCTTCGTGTTCAACATGAGATCTGTGCATTATAGGGTGAAAATGTTCATTAGAGATGACAGAGGTTTTATTTGGTGTCATTATTATTATGTCATGGTGCTTTATGTGTGAATGTAACTTCAAAATTGTAATCTTTGAACCCCACATGTTTATTATCTTCATCACCCTCCCAACCATATATGCGCATTCTTATATTGATGGTTTGGGTAGTTGTGTAATTATTCCGAGTCTGCAAGAAGTTTGCTGTCGTAGTTTGGCTCCAGTAGCTTGGCCAGGGGATCTATGTCCTGCAACTTCGCTAGGGAGCCGGCTGTGTGATATCATCACTGGATAGAATGGGATGGTTCGTAGCATGTAGCCATGTGCACGTGAGATGGGTGCCATCAAAAGAACCCCTCCTCATCTCCTCGGGTGTTATCCTAGTTAGCCTCCACATCATCACTATTGTTGACTCATCATCCTACATCACCAGCACACCCCCAACACTTTTCTAAAAGGGCAAAAGTTGTACTTTGAGAGAAGTTAAGAAGGAAATTGTTGTTAACTTCATTCGGTTCAATATCACCTACCTATATGGTGTTCCAAGGTACATATTTTTAGATAATGGCAAGCCTTTTAGTAATAGTCTTATGGACAAGCTGTGTACAAGGTTCAAGTTCACCTAGCATTTTTCCTCCATGAAAAATGTTGTCACTAATAAATTGGCAAAAGCTTTCAACAAGACCCTTTGCAATCTCCTTAAGAAAGTTGTTTCAAAGTCTAAGTGGGATTGGCATGAAAGAATTGGTGAAGCACTTTGGGCATATCGAATGACTTATCACACTCTAACAAGAGCATCTCTTTGTTATGTTGTGTATAGGGTTGAGGCTATCCTCCCTTTGGAATGCCAAATTTCATCTCTAAAGATTGCCATTCAATAAGGTCTTATTGTGCCAAGCTCCGCCTATAAGAACTAGAAGCCTTGGATGAGAAAAGGCTAGAAACTTAGCAACACTTGGAATGTTATCAATCAAGATTGTCCAAGACATTCAACAAGAAGGTCTAACCAAGGGCATTTCAAGTTGAAGATGTGGTGTTAACTGTTCGAAGGCTTGTTAGATATTTGAAGGCCAATTGTTATCACTTTTTCATTTAGGGGGCAAGTTTACTTCAAAATTGGATGGTCCTTATGTCGAGATAAAAGTTTATAGTAATGGCACCTACAAGATTGTTGACAAAGATGGTCTACACATTGGTCCCATTAATGGAAAGTTCCCCAAAAAAGTTTTACTCTTAAAATAAATGTACTACTCCTAGTCTTAAGAGTATAAATTGTATGAACAATATATATATGTATATATAAAGGAATTGTAATAATCCTAGCCCATAAGAGTTTAAACTACCAATGGTTCAAAAAAAAAAAAAAAACTTTAAACTACGTTTGACTTGATCCCCAAAAGGGTATGGAGGTAGCTTGGAGTTTTTCTATGTTCAGTCAAATTCTTAAAATAAATTAAAATTTACTTTTGATTATGGTTCATTTCATCTTAAGTATCCCAACAAAGGGCAGAAATGTCTATGTTAAGTAAAGAAAGCAAAATGGAGAGAGCAACAAAAGTGAAGATGTAAAAAGTCGTTAAAGCCAAAATTCAACAAGTCTTGGAAAGGGAATGCTCAAAGCCTAAAAAAAAAAAAAAGAAAGAATACAAAATGAACAACATCACATGTTGTTTTCAACCCAAGTGCCATTTGTTATAGTTTCAAACTCAGTTTCAAGGTCTTGTCATATCTTCTCTACTTCAACAACTGTTTTCAACAGTTATAACTTTGGAGTTTTCCAATTCTATTAATCTTGCTTGGTTGGACTGGAGTTATTCTTCTGCCATCTATTTTCATATCAAGAAGCAAATCAAGTGTGGAAGTCTCATCACTATGTTGTTGCTCAACTGATTCTAACTCCTTCAAACTATCAATCTTACTCTCTAGGGATCTCTTCTTCTCTATGAGTTCATTTATTTTCTTTAAAAGAGAGTGATGGACAAGCTGATTTGGTGATATCTCTTTCTTCAACATCTAAGCTAGTGGACATTTCATCTCATTTTGCTAAGTAAAGATTCACCTTAGACAAGTAAGCATTAGTAATCTTGAACAAAGGGTTAGCATCCATGTGAAAATAAAGTTGGAAGGCTTTCGAGATTACAAAAAATTGCTCTGCCCACCACTTTCCAAGCCTAGAAAAGCCATTTTGCAAGCCTTATGAAAATTCCTCTTGCACATAATTACTCATAGCTTTATGAAAGGTGGGCTTCATTAATGCTTGAGAGGTAATTATCTCCAAAGGCTTTGTGATGTAGGAGAATGTAGGATTAAGTTTTGGTGAACCAAATGATGAACTAGATCCAATCGTTTCCTTCATAATTGACCATCTGTCACAAGAGTCGACTTCCCCATCTTCAATAGTTACTTGGTTGCCAACATTTAAGGATAGTTTTCCTTCATCAATTTGGCTAAGAAGCAATCCAAGTTTCTCAAGAATGTCCATCTCAAGAAAATCATCTAAAGCATTAATCATCTTTGCTCCTCTTGGCAATACTCTAAATTAAAAAAAAAAAAAAAATCAAGTTAGTAACAAGGAAACTTTAAGATTGAAAAAAAGAGATTTTTTTTAAAAGGTAAGCAAATGTATTTGGCTTCATACAAAACTTGATTGATGGTTTGTGGGGCAACAACCATTAAAGGTGATTGTTACGAAGAGTAGGACATTCTTTGGGAACTTCTCTTGCATTTTTGCTTCTTAAAGGATAGACTAGGGTTGTTAACATTATTTCACTTCTGTGAGGGTAATAATAATGCCTCAAGTTATTTCCTTTTCCTTTGAGATATAATCATAGTGCTTATCATCAAAGATGGGATAAAATTTCTAGTCTCACTAGCCCTTAAGAATTGGATGATAATTGCAAAACTTCTTCATTCCACCACTTCACATAGGCTGGATCAACCCTGGATGCTACTTCGCCTTCAATTGAAAGGATGTAAAAAAAAATGTGTTGCTATTCACTCAGGTTAAAGATAACCAAAAGTAGTAAAAGTCTGATACTTTAAGATCATGAGGCTATTTGACATGCTTTCTTAGAAGTCTTGGTTGAAATCTATGTTATCTAACAAATCAGTGAGGATTGTAAGACTTCTTATTAAAGTGGCCTTCTTAGTGAAGCACCACATAACTTGCTCTAATGTTCACCATGAAATCTGAAGAGTTAGCTTGTCACTACCTATCATCAATTTGTGGTCCAAGATGGGGCGATAGGAGTATTGAAGTCCAACAAAAGCTCGAGGATAGATCAGCTCATAAAACTACATGACAATCTGCTACCTCTAGTTCCCAAGGCTAATGTGCATTCAAAACTCCAAGAAATTGCCAAACCATAGGAAAGGAAGCTTTATATCTGGTTGTAAAAGTCTTGTAAGGAGAATGCAAACCAATCCAAGCATATAAATAATATCCAAGAAAAAAAGGACTCTCAGTTGCATATACCCATAAACCTTCAGGCACTTTTGTTAGTTGCTAAAGTCCACGATATATGCATGCTAAGATATGAGGAACAAGGTTGTAGGTAACACCGATTGCCATCTACACTGCAGCCTTGAAACCAACTCTAACCAACTCTTCCACATATGGAAACACAATTTTGACAAGCCAAACACAAAGATAGGTAGCAATTGAAAGTTTTTCTTTATCATTTACCTCCAAAGCAACATCTAACATGCCAAGTTGATCCCATTGTTCTTGCACACCCCTTAGTTTCCTTTCATATCCATACGTCCACTTCAATGGGTGATCAAGTTTAAGAGATAAAATCATATTCCCATCACCATTATACCTCTACTTTGACATATCTAGATGTCGTTTGTTGTTGAGTGGATTTGTATATGATGGGTTATGATTGTACCAAAAATCAAGCCAATCAACATAGGTTACTGTAGGCATTAAAAAAAAAATGTCAAAATTAAAATATATTTGCACTAGTAAAAATCTTGAAAATTAGGGTAATAAATCTTTAAAGAGATATTTTCTCTTTAATTAAAAAAAATATATATATTAAAATGACCAAATTATCCTTAAAGTGAAGAGTATTCGAGGTCATTTGGCAAAATTCCTTTGCCTATAAATAGGCCTTCATTTGATGAAGAAAAAAAATAAAGGGAGGAGAGAGGAAGAAGAAAGAAGGAGAAAAGGAAAGGAACCACGAGCTTCAAGCTCCCTCAACAATTCTCGAAGTTTCAAGCCTCAACCTCCTGCCAAGGGTAAGTTCCAAATCCATGTCAAGGAGGAAAAGTTTCAAGTGCAAATCTTAAATCCCTTGAAGGACAAGAACAAGCTTAAGCCCTTGCCCTTCAGCCCCAACCTCCTGCCAAGGGTAATCTCCAAATCCATGTCAAGGAGGAAAAGTTTCAAGTGCAAGTCTTAAATCCCTTGAAAGACAAGAACAAGCTTAACCCTTCCTTCTAAAATTCAGCTATTAATCAGAGGATCATGCTGTTTTAAGACGTGTTACTGTTCAATGTCCAAGCACGTGCACTACAGCACTCCAAATCAGAGATTGTTTCCTATTTTTCTTCAAGTTTATAATAATTTGTATTTATTTTGCAAATCAATACATATTATTTGATTTTGCAGATTTTGTGAGTACACATCTTTGGCGACTCCACTAGGGAAATCTCTGCCTCTCATCTTTTAGTTGAAGAAAAAATTCCACCATATCTTTCTAGGCATGGCGGACTCAAAGCAAGCTATAACTCCTCTTGCGACTTGAAAAGTTTAAATCTTTTCCAATCAATCTTCCTTGCTGACTCGTGCCAAAGCACGCATGACGAGATCCAAGTTGGTCTCCCCCCTGAGGCAATTCACTAGAAGACGTCGTAAGGAGTCTGCAATGAAAAAACGATCATTAGCCATCCAATCACCTTTCCAGCCTATGAAGGATGTCGAGTACTTCTCTTCAGAATCTAATGAAGGTGAAGAACTTAGTCTCAAGCCCAGTCATGTGTCTGCTTCGAAGTTAAGGTGGGCTGACTATCCTTCATCATCATCTGAGTCCCTCTTACTTGCCTTGGTTACTGAAGCGACATCTGGTGACCCGAATGCTCTCCTCAAGGCTGTGGAAGGCTTAAGGAAAGCTGTGGCTGAAAAGGATGCCCAAATCAAGGAACTCCAAGAACTGTTAGCGGCTCAACACTTATCAAAACAGAATAACCAAGCAGCATCAAGCTCAGTCGCTGATAAAGCCCTCGAAAACAAGGAAGACTCATTAAGGACTTCAGATCGGGGTAAGCAAGTCACTATGGAGGAAAGCTTGGAGCTCTCCAAGGTGCTTTCCGTGACACTACTTATGCTACTGTGGCATCTCTTACATTTCCACAACTTAAACTTTTAGTTGATGATGTGATTCGAGCTCGACAAGGAGGGACCTCACAATCCTCACTTGTGTATGCCAAGCCCTATACTCGTAGGATTGATAATCTAAGCCTACCAGATGGCTACTAGCCACCAAAATTCCAAAAGTTCAATGGGAAAGGCAACCCAAGGCAACACGTCGCTCATTTTGTCGAAACATGCAACAATGCTGGCACCTATGGGGACCTCATGGTGAAACAGTTTGTCCGGTCCTTGGAGGACACAGCCTTTGAATGGTACACTGACCTTCCTACTGGGTCAGTGGATAGTTGGGACCAGTTAGAGTGAGAATTCTTGACACGTTTTTACAGTACTAAGCGTATTGTTAGCCTCCCTGAGCTTGCTAACACCAAGCAAAAGAAAGATGAGTCTATGACAGACTTCATTGAAAGATGGAGGAATCTCGTCCTAAATTGTCGAGAAAAGATTAGTGAGATCTCTTCTATTGATATGTGTGTGCAAGGTATGCATTGGGGACTACTGTATAACCTTCAAGCTAACATGCCACATACCTTTGAAGAATTGGCCACTCGTGCCCATGACCTAGAAATTCAAATTGCTAGGCATGGTAACTTTCTTCCAACAGACGCTCGTGATAAAAAAGAGTCTAGAAAAGATGTGAAGAAGGAAGTGAAACCTTCAAAAGCCAAAGAAATTATGGCAGTCACAACAACGCTTGTGAAGATCTCACAACAAAAGCTAAAGCAAAATCCTAAACAAGGTGTCAAGATTGTTGGGGATCAGGGTCAAAAGAAGAAGTCTACATTAAAAGAGTTGCAATAAAAGGAGTATCCATTTGCAGACTCTGAAGTCCCGACTATCTTTGAGCAATTGTTGGCACTAAACCTAATTGAACTTCGAACTCCTAAGCGCCCAGAGGAAGTTGGGAGAGTAAATGATCCAAAATACTGTAAGTATCACCGAATTGTGAGTCTTCTAATCGGTAAGTGTTTTGTGTTGAAAGATTTGATAGTTTGTCTTGAGAAAGAAGGCAAAATACAACTAGAAAGTGAAGAAGGTTCCGCTGCCATCAATGTTGCCATGGTTTCCTTTGGATCCTTCAGTCCAGTTCCACTCTTACCTGTGCAACCAACCCCACTAATGGTTCAGCCTAAGGAGTTTGGTCCCCACCTGCCCAAGGGGGCAATTCAAGTTAAATTTCAAACAGATGATGAAGAAAAGATAGCTTATGCTTATCCTGGCATGCCTCCTTCTGGAGGTCCAAGCTCTCTTTCTTTATATGACCTTATAATGGTAAATCTTGAAGATTGGGAATCATCATCTGAGTCTGAAGATGAGGTTGGCAATGGTTGGTCAACCTTCATTAGTAAGAGCAGAAAACACCGTAATCCAGTATCTAGTGGAATGTCACTCCCAGATCCTCATAAAATCATGTATGGTATCTATCCAGAGATAAAGCCGACTAGATGGTTTTCAAACTCTGAGTTTCCTGTCTTTTACAATGATGATGAGGGTGGATTCCAGTTCAATCACGAAGGAGGAGGCATCATTCAAGACCCACACTACCATCCATCCAACAAAATCATTCATTTCTTTCAGCTTTGCTAGCTGCACCAAAAAATCAAGAACAACGTTAGGTAGTGAAAAGGAGGTCTGATTTACAAACAAGACTTCGATAAGTTCCTAAGAAGAGAAAGTCACTGTCTGAGAAAGATATGAACTCAAAAGAAAAAGCTATAGTTACTCTTTATGAATACTTTCCAGAGGGATATTTTTCTGATGAGGAAGTATCTGTTAATGTCACAAGTTTCAAGACAGAAAACAAGCCATCATCTAAATTCTGAGGGTTCCAAGAGCCAATCAAATGATCTCGAAGTTGATGGAAGTATAGAGAAATTGAAGCAACTTCCATCTAATTTACAGTTATCCAAAGCCTTATAGCTTTCATGGGATACACGCCTTGCTCTTGTACAAGCTTTGTTAGACCCAAAAAAGTTCCAAGGTGAGCTAGCCAAGCCAAAAACTAAGGCTGAGTGTTTAGGAACAATAACCTTCACAGATGAAGACTTGCAGCTTAGAATCCAAAAACATAACAGGCCTCTTTATGTGAGTGGCATTGTTCGAGATCACAAAGTGAATCGAATTTTGATTGATGATGGATCTGCTGTCAACATAATGCCAATTTACATCATGAAGAGGATAGGGATAACTGTCGATGAATTGACTAGCAATAAACTCCTAATCTAAGGCTTTAACCAAAAAGGCCAACGTGAAATTGGCAAGATCCGCATTAATTTCCAAATCGTAGACATGGCAACCTCAGCTTTGTTCCATGTCATAGAGGCTAAAACATCATATGAGCTTCTTTTAAGACGAACATGGATTCATGAAAATGGGGTGGTTCCGTCAACTTGGCATCAATGTTTTAAATATCATTCTGATGGTAAAACAAAATGTGTTATGGTTGAGAAAGAGCCTTTCACGAAAGAAGAGTCCCATTTTGTTGATGCCAAATTTTATGAAAAGGAAAAAGATGATTTTGAAGCTCTTCCTATTAAGATGCCACAAATAAAGCAAAAGAATGACGAAAAAATCATTGTTCGCCCTATAAAAGATCCATCTTCAAGTTCTGAAGTTAATCTTTCAATAGAGGATTTGAAGGTGCTCCAGGAAGATCTTGTGCTTCCATTGTCTACACTCTCTAAACTGGGCATTTCTAATCCAGTTATAAAAGAAATGGTTGAAACAGCCATAGAACATGAAAAGCAACCTCAAGGATGGTTTGATCCTTGTGCTCAAATGTTGCTAAAAAGGGCTAGCTTCAAAGAAGGAGAGTCTCGACAACTTGGGGATTTGAACTCTATCCTCACAGGTACTCAAGCAACCCAAACTGGGAAGGAAGCTATGTTGAGAGGAGAACCTATGCCAAAGTAGAGGCATGGGCTTGGATTTCAATCATCTAAACCTACAAAGATCAAGATAAAAAAGAAGTCAGCAAATCCAATAACGATCTAGATTTTTTAAACCGACGAGGTTGAAGGGACTCCACAACTACGAGTTTCAGCCTTGGAAATGATTCAGCAAGAAAATATCCGAGTGTCAGTTTTTGAAAGACTAGGGCCTGCTCCTTCACTATTGACAATCCAAGAGAATCATTCTCAAAAGCCTTTAGTCTTTTCTAGACTTGGTGCTAAGCAGCAAAATAGCAAGAAAACATCTAAGAGTCAGAAAGTTCAGAAGAACAAGAACAAGTCTATGCAAAGAAAGAAGTATCAATGGAGGCGTAAAGACGTCCTTGATGGGCAAGAGATCTCAAAGCCTTCCGTTGAGGAGGTAAAGGTAGTTGAATCAAACCATGTCTCAATTGAGAAAATTCCTGACTCTGATTCTTCAAATGAAGAACCAAATCCAGCCCCAAAAGCCTTTGAGGATGGGGGACAAGCTACTACTGACGAGCTAAAGCAACGAAACTTGGGTATAGAGGATGATCCAAGACCCATTTTTCTCAGTGCATTGTTGAGTTTGGAGGAAGAAGTAAGATATGTGCAACTATTTGATGAGTACAAGGATGTGTTTGCATGGTCTTACAAAGAGATGCCAGGCTTAGACCCAAAAGTAGTTGTTCATCGTCTAGCCGTGAAGCATGGGTTACGCCCAGTGAAGCAATCGCAGCGGCGTTTTCGTGCAGACCTCATCCCACAAATTGAAGCTGAGGTTGATAAGTTGATTGAAGTTGGCTTCATTCGGGGGGTCCATTATCCATCCTGGATTGTGAACATTGTTCCAGTTAGTAAAAAGAATGGACAACTCAGGGTATGTGTAGATTTTCGTGATCTAAACCAAGCAAGCCCAAAAGATGATTTTTCGCTTCCGATCATAGAGCGTATGGTGGATGCAACCATGGGACATGAAGTTTTGTCCTTTATGGATGGATTCTCTGGTTACAACCAAATTCACATGGATCCTAAGGATGAAGAGATTACAGCTTTTCAAACACCAAAGGGTATTTACTATTATAAAGTTATGCCATTTGCGTTGAAAAATGCCGGAGCCACTTACCAGCGTGCAATGCAAATGATTTTTAGTGACATGTTGCATAAGCTGGTTGAATGTTATGTCGATGATTTGGTTGTTAAATCTAAGAGACGTGATGAGCACCTCAATGACTTGAAAGTTGTGTTTGAGAGACTTCGCAAGTACCAGCTAAAAATGAATCCATTAAAATGTGCCTTTGGTGTTTCCTCTCGCAAATTTTTGGGGTTTATTGTGAGGCATCGAGGTATTAAAATTGATCAATCCAAGATAGAAGCAATTGTGAACATGCCACCCCCGAAAAAATCTTCGAGAGCTAAAAAGTCTCCAAGCCAAGCTGGCTTACATTCGGAGGTTCATTTCAAACCTTGCTGGATGGTGTCATCCATTTAGCAAGTTAATGAAGAAGGATGCACCATTTGTATGGGATGAAGCATGTCAAAATGCTTTTGAAAGCATTAAGGAATACCTCCTTCACCCTCAAATTCTTGTTGCACCCATTCTTGGGAGACCATTGATCCTTTATATTGCTGCACAAGAATATTCCCTGGGAGCATTATTGGCACAAGTCAATGAAGAAGGAAAAGAAAATGCTCTCTATTATTTGAGCCATACTCTCGTAGGGGTAAAAGTGAATTATTCACCCATTGAGAAGATTTGCCTAGCCCTGATCTTCTCTATGAAGAAATTGAGACATTATATGTTGGCTCATGTTGTACATCTCATTTCAAAAGTAAACCCTTTAAAATACATCATGTCAAAGCTGGTGCTCTCTGGTAGAATAGCAAAATGGGCACTATTATTGTCTGAATTTGAAATAATTTATGTGCCACAAAAGGCGATAAAAGGACAAGCCTTAGCTGATTTTCTTGCAGATCATCCAATTCCAGCTGAATGGGAGTTGTCAAAGGATCTTCCAAATGAGGAGATGTTCTTTGTAGATGTATTGCCATCATGGGAGCTTTACTTCGATGGAGCATCAAGAAGAGATGGTGCTGGGGTTCGCGTGGTGTTTGTAATGCCAAAAAATGAAGTAATACCATTCTCTTTTGCTTTAAGAGAACAATGCTCTAATAATGTTGCTGAGTATCAAGCCTTGATTGCGAGCTTGGAGATGGCTCTTGAAATGCAAATTTATCAACTCAATGTTTATGGGGACTCAAGTTTGGTAGTGAATCAACTCATAAAGGAGTTTGATGTTTGAAAACCAGAACTTGTCCCATACTTCCAATATGCCTCTCAACTCCTTGAGAAATTAGATCATGTCTCAATTGCCCACATTCCTAGAAGTCGAAACAAGCAAGCAGATGCTTTGGCTAATTTAGCTGTTGTCATTGCAAGTCTCGATAATCAAGAAGTCACTATTTTTGTGTCGCAACAATGGATTTCACCTCATTTGAGATCTGAAGATGCAGAAAGCAATGTTGTTTCAGTATTTGTCATTGAGAAAGAAGACTGGAGACAACCAATCATCAATTACTTGGAACATGGCAAGCTACCAGATGATCCACGCCAAAAATCCACAATTCGGATGAGGGCCCTACGCTTTGTTTACTTTTGTAACACCCTTTATCGGTGATCTTTTGATGGAGTTCTCCTTAGATGTTTGGATGAAGATGAATCATCCCAAGTGGTTGAGGAGGTGCATTCTGGAATTTGTGGAGCTCATTAGTTTGGTCCAAAGCTTCACTACCAAATAAGAAGAATGGGATACTACTGGCCAACAATGGTAAAGGATTGCATGGAATATGCGAAGAAGTGTGAAGCATGTCAATTTCATGCAAATTTTATCCATCAGCCACCGAAGCCTTTACATCCAACAATAGCATCGTGGCCCTTTCATGCTTGGGGTTTAGATGTGATTGGACCTATAACACCAAAATCTTCAGCTGGGCATGCATATATCCTGGTAGCAACTGATTACTTCTCCAAATGGGCGGAAGCTGTACCTTTGAGAGAAGTCAAGAAGGAAAATGTTGTTGACTTCATTCGAGTCAATATCATCTATCGGTATGGTGTTCCAAGGTACATAATTACAGATAATGGCAAGCCCTTTAGCAACAGTCTCATGGACAAGCTGTGTTCAAAGTTTAAGTTTGCCCAACATTTTTCCTCCATGTACAATGCTGTTGCGAATGGACTGGCAAAAGCTTTTAATAAAACCCTTTGCAATCTCCTTAAGAAGGTTGTTTCAAAGTCCAAGCCGGATTGGCATGAAAGAATTGGTGAAGCACTTTGGGCAAATCAAACGACTCATCGTACTCCAACAAAAGCAACTCTTTATTCCCTTGTGTATGGAGTTGAAGCTGTTCTCCCTTTGGAATGCCAAATTCCATCTCTCAAGATCGCCATTCAAGAAGGTCTTATTGATGAACAAAATGCCAAGCTTTGTCTCCTAGAACTAGAAGCCTTAGATGAGAAAAGATTGGAGACCCAACAACACTTAGAGTGTTATCAAGCCAGATTGTCCAGGGCATTCAACAAGAAGGTCCGACTAAGGGCATTTCAAGTTGGAGATGTGGTGTTAGCTGTTCGAAGGCCAATTGTCATCACTCGTCATTCAAGGGGCAAGTTTACTTCAAAATGGGATGGTCTTTATATCGTGATAGAAGTTTACAGTAATGGTGCCTACAACATTGTTGACAAAGATGGTCTACAGATTGGTCCCATTAATGGAAAGTTCCTCAAGAAGTTTTACTCCTAAAAATATGTAATACTCCTAGTCACAAGAGTATAAACTGTATGATCAAAATAAAAAAAAAAATGTAATTACTCCTAGTCACAAAAGTATAAATTGTATGACCAAAATAAAAAAAAAAATGTAATACTCCTGGCCCGCAAGAGTATAAACTATGAACGGCTCAAAAAAAAAAAAAAACCTTTGAACTACGTTTGACTTGATCCCCAAAAAAGGGTACGTAGGCAGCTTGGTGTTTTTTCCAAGTTCAGTCAAATTCTTAAAATAAATTTAAGTTTGCTTTTGATTGTGGTTCATTTCAAGTGTCCAACAAAGGGAGAAATGTCTATGTCAAGCAAAGAAAGTAAAGCAAAGAGAACAACAAAAGTGAAGAAAATGCATCTTATTTATTCACAAAGTGGCTAAAGCCAAAATTTGACAAGTCTTTGAAAAGGATTGCTCAAAGTCTAAAAAAAGGGAAAGAATACAAAATGAACAACATCACATGTTGTTTTCAAACCAAGTTCCCTTTGCAATGGCTTCAAATTCAATTTCAAGGTCTTGTCGCATCCTCTCCACTTCAGCAACTGTCTCAACAGCTACAACTTTGGAGTTTTCCAACTCTATCAATTTTGCTTGGTTGGACTGGAGTTGTTCTTCTGCCGTCTGCCTCTTGTCAAGGAGCAAATCAAGTGTGGAAGTCACATCACTATGTTGCTGCTCAACTGACTCCAGCTCCTTCTTCAAACTTTCAATCTTATTCTCTAGGGATCCCTTCTTCTTGGTGAGTTCATTGATTTCCTTTGAAAGAGAGTCATGGACGATCTGATTTGATGATATCCCCTTCTGTAAGGCAGCAAGAGATTTATCTCTTTCTTCAACATCCAAGTCGGTGGAGACCTCATCTCGTTTTGCTAAGTAAAGATTTACCTTAGATAGGTAAGTATCCATCGTCTTGAGTAAAGGTTCAACATCCATGCGAAAATAGAGTTGGGGTGCTTCTGAAATTGTAGAAGATCGCTCTGCCCACCACTGTCCAAGCCCAAAAAAGCCATTCTGCAAGCCTCGTGAAAATTCCTCTTGCACATAGTACTGCTCATAGCTTTAAAAAGGATGGGCTTCACCAGTGCTTGAGAGCTAATTGGTTCCAAAGGCTTTGTGATGCAGGAGAATGTAGGCTTAAGTTTCAGTGGATTAGATGATGTCATGGCAAGAGGATTAAGTCCAACGGTTTCCTTCACACTTGGTTGTCTGTCATGAGAGTCAACTTCCCCATCTTCGGCAGTTACTTGTTCACCAGCATTTAAGGATAGAACTCCTCCATCAATTTGACTTGGAAGTGATCCAAGTATCTCAAGAGTGTCTGTCTCAAGAAAATCATCTAAAGCAAAAATCATCTTTTCATCTCCTGGCAGTCCTCTTAATTCTGGGGAGCTAAATATTTCTGAAAGAAAAAAAAAGTCAGTACCAAAAGAGTTTAAAGAAAAGAAAGATTTTCTTTAAAAGGTGAGGAAACGTGCTTACCTTCGTACAAAGCTTGACGGGAGGTTTGCCGGGCAACAGGCGTAGAAAGTGGATGTTGTAAAGAGTCTGGCTCTCTTTGAGGACTTCTGTTGCATTTCTGCTTCTTTGAAGATGAACTAGGGTCTCCATCATTCTTTCACTTCTAAGAAGGAGACAATAGTGCTTGAAGCTGTTTCCCCTTCCCTTGAGGTCTGATTACTGTGCTCTTCATTAAGGATGGGATGAAATTTCTAGCCTCGCTAGCCTTCAAGATTGGATGCTCACTGTAGAAATTGAAGGAAAAACTTCTTCATTCCACCACTTCACATAAGTTGGGTCAACCTTAGATGCTACTCCGCCTTCAACTGAGGGGAGATGAAGAAATGTGTTGCTATGTATTCGGGGTTAAAGATAACCAAAAGTGATAAAGATCTGACACTTCACCACCATGAGGCAATTTGACATGTCTTCTTAGAAGTCTTTGTTGAAATCCATGCTGTCTAGCAAATCGGTGAGGATTGTAAGACTTCTTTGTGAAGCAGCCTTCTTGGCGAAGCACCACATAACCTGCTCTGATGCTCACCATGAAATCCAAAGTGTCAGCCCGTCGTTGTCCATCATCAACTCGAGGTCCAGGGTGGGTTGGTAAAGGCACTGGAGTCTAACAAAAGCCGTCTGAGGATAAATTACCTCGTAAAACTGCACGACAATCTGCTACCTCTGGTTCCCAAGGCTGGTATGCATTTAAAATCCCACGAAATTGCTGAACCATAGGTAGAGAAACTTCATATCTGGCTGCAAAAGTTTTGTGGGGGAAATGCAAATCAATCCAAGCATATAAATAATGTCCAGGAAAAGGAGGAGTTTCAGTTGCATGTACCCATGAACCTTTAGGTACTTTTGTCAGTTGTCTAAGTCCACGATAAATGCATGCCAAGATAGGAGGAACCAAGCTATAGGTAACATCGATTGCCATTTGGGCTGCAGCTTTGAAAGTTCTGACTCTAACAAATTCTTCCCCATCTGGAAAAACAAATCTGCCAAGCCAAACACAAAGATAAGCAACAATCAAAAGTTTTTCTATATCATTTACCTCCAAAGTAACATCCAACATGCCAAGTCGATCCCATTGTTCTGGTACACCCCTTAGTTTCCTCTCATGTCCAAATGTCCATTTCAATGGGCGGTCAAGTTTAGGAACTGAAATCACATTCCCATTGCCATCATACTTCAACTCGAACATATCTAGATATCGTTTGCTCTTGAATGGATCAACATAGGGTGGGTTACGATTATACCAGAAGTCGAGCCAATCAGCGTAAGTTACACGCTAAGAATTCTCCCTTTGGACGATTGTGGCAAATGCTTTAAACAGAAGTAAGCAGTAAGGTGGTAAGTCCTTTGTGAGTTCTTTGTAACTTGGAATCACCTCCTCATAGTATGCTCCTCGAATTGACAAGCCAGAAATATCTCGCACCTCCAGGAGAGAAATTCCAACCTCTCCTATAGAGGTTAAAAAGGTATTTGTACTAGGAGACCATACCTCAATGAGGGCACGAAGCATACTCGAAGGACAACAATAATCATTATTGGCCAATGACATTGCATCTGCTAAAGCTCCCATCTTGTGATGACTTAGCATCTTGGCTGTGTAGTTTGACCAATCCCAGAAGCCACTTAGGAATGGTATCTTTCCCAAATGATCAATGGATTGACACCATTTGCTCGCTCCTCGACCAATCGACTGTGTTACAACTGCTTTTGGTGTTGCATGTTCAGTCACATGATTGGATGGAAGCACCAAGGAGGGGAGAGATCCAGCGTGGCTTGTTGTTGATAAAGCTTTTCCTTCTGAGGTCACATATTCACACAACTTGGGCATCTCTAATGCAGGTAGGTGAGAAAGTCCTTCAATGGCATAGGGACCACTGGTTGATTCAAGCACCATAAGTTGAAGCTCTTTAGCCTCTGACGAAGAAGAAGATCGTATGTGAGTTGACGGGAAGTGCAAGAATTGCCCCGCCTCTTTAGGGTTGGACGAATCAACAATCCAATCACCTTTCAACACCGTAACGACAGAAATCATCTCGGAAGTAGGTCTTTGATTTGGAGCCATGTCTACATAAAGTCATACACAAAAGGCCAAATTATTCATGTTAAGTTCATGAATTAAAGACAAAGTGGTGCATGTAGCAAGAAGTTTGGGGCCAAGACTTGTTGAGTCTAAGAAAAAATGCTGCTCCAGTTGTTGACTATGGAAAGGACTTAATTGGGGCAAATCACAAATTAAGTGACTAAATCGTAAAATTATAGAAAGTTGGAGGACAACAATAAAAAAAAAGGGTTCAACGATTGGATTGCAGTTTTGCCAAAAAAAAAAGAGAAAATTTTGCATCATTCTTGAAGAAAACCTGACACGGGCAACTTCATATGAATGTGCAGAGTGTTGACACTTGCGTTTACGTGTTGATCCATAAAAGTGCAATGTTAAAAAAATAATAATAATAAAAAGAGGGGGGGGGGCTAATGGGAGCAGGTGGAGGCTTTCTGTTTATGCAATACCGTGCATGTCTAAAGATTAAAAAAAAAGGGGCCACTGATTGTGAAAGCAAAATTATAGCAGCATGTGGACATAAAAAAAAAAAAGAGAAACAGAAAAACTTGACATGTTTTTTGCATCATACGAAACAGAACTTGGTATAGGCTAAAAGGACTAGCAAAAGACAACATACCTGTCACTTGGATACACTTCAAGATGACTTTGCACAGCATATTACTTCCAACTTCACTGTTTGAGGGGGTGCTGTCCTACATCATTAAGAAAGTGGAATTAAATAATTGTAAAGAGGCCTATGGCAAGCCTATCAGAGTCAGCAATTAGAAGAATAAAATAAGGTGCAGTGGAGGATACTCACATTGATGCTACAGCAATGGTGACAATGAAGAATCAAGGTGAAACTCCTCCAAAATTGCTCTAAAAAGGGAAAAGGTCGAACAGCCCCTAATTGGAGGATGTCGTCGCTGCCGTCGCACTATAAAGGAGTCAAAACTCTGAAGCTCTGCTCCTGAAGCTCTGAAGCTCTGTTCCTGAAACTTTGAAGCTCTATTCCTGAAGCTCTACTCCTAGCTGAAGACGCTGTTGCTGCGTTTGCTCTCCCAAAAGACTCAATTTATAGAAGCATCAAGATAGAGTTTGGATAGAAGTTAATCTGAATTTTTCTTTAAAATTCAAAGTCCTATTTCAAATTTAAGATTGATTTGTAGATAAAGGGATGAGATATGGCTAAGGAGAGGGAGTTTGAGTTTGGAATGAACTTCCATCAACAGATGAGCGCCAAAAAAAAAAGGAACAAGAGGGTTCATAAACGGACTTTGAAGAATGGATGAGGCCAGTAAAAAAAAAAAAAGAAAGAAAGAAAAAGAAAAGAGAAGAAGTCTGTAAATGGGCTAAAAAAAAAAAAAAGGGGTCCGTAAATGGGCTAAAAAAAAGAGGGAGATGTTTGTTAAAATTTCACTCATTTCTCTTGAGTAGTGGACATTAAAAATTAATTTACTTTTGCATAAAATAATGCAAGTAAATTAATTTTGAGGGGGCATTTGTAGGCATTAAAAAAAATGTCAAAATTAAAATATATTTGCCCTAGTAAAAATCTTGAAAATTAGGGTAATAAATCTTTAAAGAGATATTTTCTCTTTAATTTAAAAAATAAATAAATATATTAAAATGACCAAATTATCCTTAAAGTAAAGGGTATTTGAGGTCATTTGGCAAAATTCCTTTGCCTATAAATAGGCCTTCATTTGATGAAGAAAAAAAAGAAAAGGAGGAGAGAGGAAGAAGGAAAAAGGAGAAAAGGAAAGGAACCACGAGCTTCAAGCTCCCTCAACAATTCTCGAAGTTTCAAGCCTTAACCTCTTGCCAAGGGTAAGCTCCAAATCCATGTCAAGGAGGAAAAGTTTCAAGTGCAAATCTTAAATCTTTTGAAGGACAAGAACAAGCTTAAGCCCTTGCCCTTCAGCCCCAACCTCCTGCCAAGGGTAATCTCCAAATCCATGTCAA